TGATAATTTTTTATACTTTCCATGTTTGTTTCGCTGCGCTGTCACAGTAAACGGTTTATCCCACTTCACACTTTACCAAATCAGGTTTTTTTTTATCTCCTTGTTTCCTCAACTCATTGAGCAGTAATTAAGATGGATCTCCATTTCAGCCTTTCCATTCAAGATCTACGTTAAACAGCAATCACGATGAAGCGTGCTTGTGAAGCGCCTGCGAAGTATACTTGAAGTGACGTCACAGTGAAGCTCCAACATTAAGATTTCGTATTTGGATTATGTTCAGATGCAACAATAATTACTTTTGGATTTGACACCCAATAGAGTAAACCCGAAAATTTTAAATAATAACGCACGAATTATTATTTCCTACAGTCTCGATCTTTGAACGACTGTTCTTTCTTCTCCACAAAGATCTGTGTGAAAATTTTAATAAAGAGAGAAATTTTTTTTTTAAATCTCAAAAGGCAAAATTTTTTATACTTTCACCCCGAATACTCGCAGAAGCAAAGAAAATGCCTTACGTGTGAAAGACCAAAATGCGACGTCATGGTCTAAACACGGCTGGTATACTAGAATAAGGTATTGCATTAAGATGCAATGCGTATTGGAGTAATAAATGTTTTTCGTTACGAAGAGGGATTCGTAAAATAAGAAATCCCATTTTATTGCCAGTTGCTTCTTCAAAATTTACAATTTTACATTTTATCGATCCCAATAGTACATTTCCCTCCGAAAAAATTCAATTTCGTCGTAAAGAAGAACATATCAGATAAAAGATATTGCCAAAAATATAAAAATAAATTCCAGTATTAATCAAACGCACAAAAGAATCATTTTTATAGCATGACCACACAGTCTTCTGTTTTCGCTGTCTGTTTCAAACCATGTATAAAATAAACCAGAAGTAAAAAGTCTAATTTTTTTATTAAAATTAACCCTTAAAAATTAAAATCCATCTTTTAGTGTTACCAAACTGTTTTTTTTTCCTTCCTTGTACGAATTAAAAGAAGTAAAAAAGAAGTACTTCCTTATACAGAGTAAAGGAAGTATTGTAATTGCGAAAACTTTCGAGTATCATATTTCAACGGAAATATCCACTCCCGAATTCATTTGTAAGGGGTTTCTTTTTTCGTTACGTCTGCAGGTACGAACATAATAAAGGTGTCTCTTTTTTTCCAAAATGGATTGTAAAAAATGGATTCAAAAGAGATTTTTTTCGCGACGTCTGTATGTACGTACGAATGCATATAATTCGCCTAACCTAAAAACGATTAGCTGTAGAACATTGAAATTTTGTATAAGGCGCTGCTATAATATCTAGTTGTGCACCTGCCTTTTTTATTGCAGTCGGCAATACTAAACATATATATAGATATATATATATAGAGAGAGAGAGCATATACATATCATATATATATGTATACCCACTCCCTTTATCTGGCTTAAAAGTCCTTACCTGGCCTTTATTTTCTCAAGAGCTGTTCTTAATCATAATACTTCCAATTACAAAAGTTTTTTAAATAACGAAAACATTCTGTTTTGGCAACGTCAAATTAAAAATATATATATATTTTTAATTTGACGTTGATTTAACTTAATTCATTAAAAAACACGATTTAAAATCATAATCTTAGAACTAAAATAAATAGTTCAAAATCGGGCGAAAAAAAGCGGGAAGTTTAATAACAGTTTAAAAGCCATAGTTTTCAAATACAAGAAATTCACAAAACACGTCCATGTTTAATTATCTTTTTTCATTTTGTGTGTTACCTTTATTTATTAAATATCATGTTCTTTGCACTTAAACATTAAATTCAGTTCAACAACAATGTCGCAAAATAATTTTAAAATGAGCATAACTTTAGAATTTCCGATACATAGTTCCGCGGGCTGGAAATAAAAAGGTTCCCCTCCCCCGTTATTTAGCGAAAATTAATATATATATATATATATTAATTTTCGCTAAATAACAAAATCTAACATTTAAATGCGATCTCTCGATTCCTATACTTATATTTGGGAAAGTTTTATATTCGTTATGAAAAAATAAAACTGTAAGATGTTTAACTCCCGTATGACAAAAACTCATCCTATTTTAATGTGTCAAATATATTTAATTTCAAAATTTGCAATATTTTATGTCATTTTCAACTTGCTTTGAGGTACGATTCGTTAAGTCAGAATAATTCGAGGAAATAGGTTTAAATAATGCGCAGAAAAAATGTGAACAATTTAATTGAACGTATAAGAAAGTCAGGTGGTGACCACATAAAGTTTTTAATAAATACTATGTATTGAACGCAAGGCAGAATTCATTATATTAGTACACACTTCAAAGAGAAATAATCTAAATGTATTTTTAAACGAAAAGAAGAGTCGCGTAATCACTATAGCAATAACAACACTTCTCATTTTGAGTTATGTTGATAATTGTTCAAAAGATATTAGATTTTTCCTGAAATAGATATTTCTTATGTTAGAATTCATAATGCAGTGACGGAACTAATTTTTATAATTTTTTCTATTATTTTCGCTATTATTGAGATTGTTAAATGATTTATTTAGCTTAATTTGCTTTCTATTCCAAAAAAATTTATTTCTTATTTCGGATGCTTCCAATGATCCTGTACACTTCAGTACTCCTACATTTTCCTACATTTCCACTTAAATCTTACATAAATCATAACGGTGTATTCATAAAATAAATATTTTCTTTTAACGCAATGAATTTTAACACGGCGCCCCCCCTTTTGCCAAGTAAAAGTGCTCAGTATTTCTAAAAAATACAAATAAATACTGAGCATTAACGATAATCATGTTTTCTTAAAGCCGCAGAAGATGGTATATGGCTCGATCTATGTGTGGTTGTCTTAAAAAGAGTTTGTTGCAGTAAAAAGCAGTAGTATAAAAACTTTCACTCAATTTTTGAAATAATACAATATTTATTGATAAAGAACTGTGTTTCTGATCTACAGTTCCACTTACATGCCTGTAATCACCTTTTAGCTATTGTTTAAGATTATCATAGCTAATGAGATAAGTTATCATTGAACAACTACTGTACATCTTTTTACACTTTCATTTAAACTGTTTGAGCCTTCTTTTACCGTTTAATTCAATAATTAACCTTTGGGTTTTTATTCTCGTGTGATCAGAAATGGCAAATCGAATTAACAATATCATATTCTGGAATCTCGGAAAGGGAATGCTTTGCGGTCTTCCGCATCATTCACCTGTATAACCAAGGCAAAAAGCAAACATTCTACCAACAAATCTTTGTGGGCATCATAAAGGTCTAACTACGTTTATGATGATATACACAGATTACACCTACTTATATATTATTCTCATACTCTTCTTACGGTATTTCCGTATTATTCTCATTAATACTATTGCATTAGTTTTATATGCACTCTTCAATGAGTTAAGAGCAAGGCCAGTTTTAAACGTGTATAATTGATATATTGCCATACATAAAACGTTTTCACGTCAATTGTTTTACAAATTAGAATTAAAATAAATTGTAATACTCATAATAACGAAAGTAAACTGAGGAATAAATTCTTCAGTTTTCAATACGATATATCATTTCTGGATAAAAGTAGTTTTAATTCATTTCAGCTATCGAAAGTTAAAACATGTAAACATTTCATCTTTACTAAAGGTAATAGATGTAAAGAGTAGCATACTAATGCGAAAAGATAAAAAATTAATAGAATTCTAGTTTTGTTTGGTGACATTCTTCTGGTGGAATTAAAACCCTGGATGCGCTACATGAATAAAAAAATATTCTGTTCCTCTTTTTCATAACCCCCAACATAAGAGAAGCAAGTAATACTGCAGAATTTTCAGAATAATTTTCTCAGAAATTTTACCTTAATTTTAAATAATTGCAAAAATGTTCTCTCTCCGGTATAATAGCATTTCATCTGATGCAACAGCAACTCATTAGCTTTCATATAAAATTTTCATTTACGTTTCATAGTACACAAAATCTAAGCTCACGATATTTGAATAAAACTTTTTTGAGATTAAAATATCTGCTTATTTTTAAAAGCCTGTTAGCACTGACTTGTTAAGACACACAGTAAGCAATCATAACAAGAAATTTAAAATAGTGAAAGAATGCTGAATTTTATTTTTAGGCAAATATTCGTGTCTTTATTTAACGTTAAGCAAACCTGCTGAAACATTCATCTAGAAAAACAACACTAATAGTTTCTCTGACAATAATTTATTAAATTCGAAATTAATTTTAGCTGCAATTCATTTGGTATTTTAGAGCTATTAATCTCGAAACATGATTTTGCGTTATTTCTCTTTTCATTCGTGTAGGTTGCCATTAGGAAAAAAAGATATTATTCATTCATATTTAATCTGTTTGTTATTCATTAAAAAAATAAACTGTTTAAAAACAATAGATGCAATTCTTAAGAATAATAATTTTTTACTTTTTAATTTGATTCATTTAAATAAAAATGTAATTAACATTAAATATTTTAATAGAATTGCATTACATATTTTTTCACTTTTTAAATATACAGAAAATACATAATGTTTTCATGTTAATCTAAATGCATATTCATTTGCTTATAAAATGATTCTTTATTTCACGTGAGCCATTTCTATCGATAATATTTATTAATAAACAATGTTAAACTTTTGCTGAATCCTTTTAGGCGATCGTTAGAATCTGAACCATTTCGGAGATCTGACTGGAGAGAATTTTGTTTTAACTGCAGAATTATTTCAGAAATTTCATTTAGCACATCAGAAATAAAAGTATTTTACAATCAAAACTTCGGTTAAAATAATATTTCCTTAAGAGAAGCTGAATATCTGAATTATTTATAATCATACTTGCAGACTTTTTTTAAAAAGAACTATAATACTTCAAAATTATTTTGGCAACAGCAAAATATTTTTTCAAGCCTCATAATATGTGTAATTTAATGTGCAAATAAATGGCGCGGGGTCATAAATTGTTATTTTGAGTTACTTACGCTGTATTATTCTCTTTAATCGCCATAATGAGAATAAATTTCCAAAAATCCATGCGCAAAAAGCATCCATATCGAGAAATATTCGGCACTTTCATCTTTTTTTTCTTCCTAGAAGACACCTTCCTGCGTTTTCCATTAGCACAGAAAAAAGCTGATAAGGTTTCCAACTCTAACCTAGCAACAAGTGAGACAAAGACATTTCGAGCTTGATAAGTTATCCTCCGTCATGTGCACATGAGGTCAAAATTTCCTCAGTAATCAGAGGCTATCCCGACTGTCGCCGAGTCGGTCTTGGAGAAGATTAAGAGGTGACAAATCCGAGAAGTTTCAATCGCCGTGGAATTCTCCAGGGAATGCGGCCAATCTGCCATGTTTGGCAGTTTAGCGCCAATTTGGCAAAACAAAAAATAAAAACAAATAGAAACTGGGAAAAAAAAACAATTTCCAGTTTAAAATTTTCAGATTACAATATCGGAGAATTTAATATTAACGTTTTAGAAATAAAAATTATAAGGCAAAGTTGCAAGCTGATCTTCAGTTTCTTCAGTTTAAATCCCGAAATAATTTTAATCTAAGCAAATAATATACGTATTAGTTTAAAAAATAATTCTCTAGAAGTTAAAGCCACAAAATCTTACATTTAAAATGAATTGTTGAAACTGGCAAAACCAGTAACATAGTGTTTTTGTAATTACAGCACAGCACTCGAGGGCTATCTTCCTAAAGGGGAAAATGCCTTAATGGAGGACTTTCTAAGGGAAACTGGCTCATATACACATTATACACGAGAAGAACCACGAAAACACCCATAGAGCCAGATTCGTCGCTATTCGAACCTCGAACCGAAATAGCAGTGTTCAGAGACTTTACCACTCGGTCAGTGGTGGGAATCTAATCTCGTAACAAAGTGGAAACAAAGCAGTAGGAAAACAAACTGCTATGATATTTTATCACAAATTAATGTCACCTGGAAACTTGTGCATTTATTTAACAATGTAAAAAAATATCTGAATGGTTTCAGATTTTAATGGTTTCACAAAAGAGCTTGTTATGGTTCTTTAGGTTCTTTGCTGACTTCGCAGTTTTTGAGTATGCCGTTACACTCAATCTTACTAACCCATTTTTTTTGTCTTTTTAGCTTTATTATTAATAATAAAGCATAATTTTCAAGCATAATTTTCTTCGCACTTATGCCATACACTATTTAACAGCAAAATTGCAGAAATTTTAAAAGCAGCATAGCAGTATACATTTAGAATTCCCGATGCAGCGTTAAAGGTTGGAATACATTTTTTCTGTTTAAGTCCGGTCTTTAACATTTTGTTTATTTACTTTTTTTATTAAATATCACGTTATTGACGCTCCTCCCTTTCCGTATAGTGCCTAAGGGCGGAGCACGTAATAAGTAAAAAAAAAAGTAGTGCTTTCCTGCTTAGCGGACGGTGCAAAATTAAAACTCATGGCTATTTTTAAAAGAAGGAGGATCCCGAAATATAATTTCCCAAATGGTATTTTCATTCCTATTCTCGAGAAAGGATGGACAGACGAAAAGGGTTTGAAACTGTGGATAAGAAATGTTTCCAGTCTTTTTTTTTTTTTTTTTTTGATTGGGAAGTGTTCATATTCCATCTAACGAATGATCCGAAGAAATTGTTAAAGGAGTCTAGTATAAACATCACAATTATTCCAGGCTGCTTTCAGGCTATTAGTTCAGCTTTTGGATGTATGTGTCAATAAATCACTTAAAAATTTAAAACACCAGTCAAGAAATACTGTGCGAGTGGATAATAAAAGCATGGAATGAAATTAAACCCGACATAATTCAAAAGTTATTTAAAAAGGAAGTAGATGATGGAAAGGAAGATTATTTATTTAATTATGCATCAGAGTAACAGTGATGGTGAAGATGAAACAGAATTCGATGATGTGCGTGAAGATATGTAATACGAATGTCACGAAATTTTCAAGTTATCTCATAATGAAAATATTTAAGTTTATACGCTATGTCTTTTCTTTAAATGAACAGCATTTGGATATATGTAGAAATCTAATTTTTATATACTTATCTTTTCCTTTTTTTTTTTTGAATCTATCATTTTTATATCCGTGCATAACGCGCATACGTAAATTTCAATCTTATTTTTTGTAATAAATGTATTGTTTGTATGCGTGTTTTTCGCCGGAAAGTACGATAATCAGTGCACTACGCTTTCTCGAAATTCTTAATCGTCTCGATAATTCTGGACATGGATAACTATCTATAAATCAACTTTGGATATTTTTAACAACTCGTAGTATAAACGCAGCGAAGTGAGCGTAACTACAGCTGTCTTTCAACCCCGGCTACTGAATTTTAAACTTTTAAATGAAATTCGATTTGTTACTCTGATACGTTTATTAAACTATGTTTAGAAAATGAACACCAAAATTCAAGAATTTAATTATGTACTTCATATACTAAATTCCAGTTGCCGCTTTTTAATAAATGCAGGTGAATTTAAAAAAGAAATTATTCATTCGATGCAGATTTCAAATTTTTCTTTTATTTAAAAACTTTTATTATTAAGTGAATTTCCTCCCTTTTGTTCCGTATTTTTATTTGAAGTTCTGATAGCCGAAGAATTAAAAAAAATGTTTCAGGCTTCGGCTTCAGATTCCAGGAAATTCAGGGTTTCATCTACGTTTATGTTTTCTCATTGCAATTTAAAACACTGTATATATATATATGTGTGTGTACTGTGTTTTAAATTCTTCAGTATCATGGCTGAATATTTTTTTCATATAAGGCAAATAGCACCTCAATTCTACGGCCATTTGAAAGAGGAAGTGGAAAAAGAATACATATATGTATATTAAAACCAACACACAATGCAATTTAATCCTTTTTGTACACTTATTAAAGATAACTATTCCAAATTATAATGCATATATATAGTTCCTATAATATTTAACTATTGCGTGATATATTCAAAAAATGACTCATATATTGATTTAAAATTTTTAAAATTAAAAGCATTAATAATTCCTTTTTGATAAAGGGCAATTGACGTTGCTATAGTATAAAGTATAATATAAATAATACAAATATTATTTCACTAATTTCTCAAGCACTTTTCATAATGTTTTTACTTCCTTGTAAAGTAAAAAGGAAGTATTGTAATCGCGAAAAGTTTCAGGCAGCTTATTTCAACGAAAATATCCATTTTGACCGCTTTCGAATGCAAATTAGCGATGTTTTTGCGTGATATCTGTACGTAAGGACAGAATAAAAGACTCTTTTCCTCCAAAAAATTTATAAAACTGCTTTAAAAGGAATTCTGAAGAGAATTTTTCGTGGCGTCTTTACGAATGTATGTATGTATGTACGCATCTCGCATAACTCAAAAACGAGTAGCCTCAGAAAGTTGAAATTTTGTATATAGGACTCTTATAACATGTAGATGTGCACCTCGTATTTTGGTTGCAATCGGCCGCACAAACGTATATAAATATATTTATAAATATATCCACTCTGTTACGCTCAGTGATCTCAGTGTCTCAGTGATCTCAGTGTCTTTACTCTTATACGTTTGTAAATTGTACATTCTTTGCTTTAAAAATGATTGACTTATGTTGTTTTTTATGTTCCGGTTAAGGTTTTTATGCCTTTAGTAAATCTGTATGCAATATTTTTAGAATTATCAACAATTTAAAAAGTTGTTTAAGTGCCGCTAAGCCTAATAATTTTTTTGATGGCGGCCATTTCTTGTTTACATTTGAAACAGCAGAGTGGTGGATTTGTTGCCAATCTATAGAAACGTAGAGTCACAACAGCAAAGCTAACGCCTTCATTTATTATTGCGAATTAAATCATGCTTAATCCTTTTTGGAATTTTTTCGAGGAAATAAGTGTTGAAGATTTACTTAATTTTTAATAATTTAGTTTTTAATAATTAGTAATTTAATTTTTAATAGTTAGTAATTTTTAATACAGATATTTTGAGTTTTTATGTATTTTTATGTGCATACATACCAAAAACGAGTAGCCTGAGAACGTTGAAATTTTGTATATAGGACTGCTATAACATGTAGATGTGCACCTCGTAGTTTGGTTGCAATCGGCCGCACCAAACGTATATAAATATATTTATATATAGTATATCCACTCTGTTACCCGGCTCAGTAATCTCAGTTTCTTTACTCTTATTATGTTTGTAAATTGTACATTTTTTGCTTTAAAAATGATTGAATTATGTTGTTCTTATCTTCCGGTTAAGATTTTTATGCCTTTCGTAATTCTGGAAGCAATATTTGTACAATTATCAACAATTTAAAAGCTGTTTAAGTGCGGTTAAGTTTTAAATAACATGGTCGACACATTTGTTTACATTTGAAACAGCAGAATTGTAGATTTGTTGCCAATCTAGAGAGACTAAGCTTCGCAACAACAAAGATAACGCCCTAATTTATTATTGCGACTTAAATCATGCTTAATACTTTCTGGAATTTTTTCGAGGAAATAAGTGTTTAAGATTTACTTCGTAATTTTTAATATAGATATTTTCAGTTTTTATGTATTTTTGCCTTCTCGCGAAGTGAGAACTGAATTAATTGAATGAGAAATACTCAATCGTCTGTGAAAAACTGTTTCTTTTTTGTTTTGTTTGCTTAATTTTTTATACATCATTCTAGCTTTATTATAGAACATGTGGGCAACGATTAGATAATTCTATTCTTTAAATAATATAAATTTTGTGCATTATGAGTTATAATATGAAAGAAATATAAAATTTAACTGTTATATAATTATTAATACTGTTAAGTGAATCTAGAGCCAGAGTGTCGCTATGGTAAACAAATACTAGAGTGAATTTTAAAGAATGCATTTATTCTATTGTGGTTGTGGATTTTATTCAATCCAATAAGTTTAAATGAATTGCAAGAAAAAATACGTATAATTTAATATTCCCTACAAGGAAGTCATGTGGTGTACACATCAGATTTTTTATTATTTAATATTCCCTGCAGTTTCTTTCGCTACCTGCGACTGTAACTGCCAAAGTTAAAACTGCTTAATGCTGCTTTAAAATTCAAATATGATTGAATTAAACAATATCCGCTAGTTATTTTTAAATATCTAATTTTGTAGTTGCTTTAGTATCCGGAGTTATTTAAAACAGCGTATTTTTGAAAGTACATATTTTTGAGTGAATTTCTGAAGTATTTATATCATTCGAATATTGAAATGTTAAGATGCAGTTTTTAAATTATATAAATTCAATAACATTAATTTAT